CCCCCTAAGTAGCCCTAGTGATTGGATCCACCCAGCCGGTATGACGGCTGAGGATCGCAAGGAGCTAGCCCAGTTGTATAAACAGTATAGAGCAGCTCATGTTTTTGCGCAAGCCGTTTCCAGCCATTCGGGAGGTGCCGAAGCTCCAATTGCCGGCCTAAAGATCCCGAAGTGCCAGCTCTCCGATATGCCGGACACGCTGGTTCACATGACCGAGTATCGCCACGTCCGTTCGATTCAACAGTATGGCCTCCTTCCTGGAGGCGGTACCGGCAATAAGCAGCGTAACATGAACCACTTTTTGCCGATCGACGGACTATTGGTCTCTTATGAGCATATTCGACCAACGGCCAATGTGGCACTCGTCTTGTCAAAGGCAACGCTGGAAAGGCATCCAGAGCTCATGGAAGATTTTAGCCTGAGCAAGAATGGATACTTTTTGACCAAGGCCGTTATTCCGGCCGGTCTTTTCAGTCTTGCATGGGACATCCGTAATAATTGTTGTCTGTCGACCAAGCTGTGGGATGTCCCAGATTCCACTCCAGCCATGTCGGTCCCCGACGAGCCGTACCTGCGCTTCTATTCTCAGCTCTATTGCGAGGTACTGAGGCTGGTATAGGCAAGGGCCACGATAAGTTCAAGACTGAAACAAGGCGGCTTGCATTTAAGAATGTTAAGATTCGCGAGGTCGAAGCATGGCGCGATGAGGCCGAAGAGAAACTCGATCGCCATCAGCTTCACGGCATGTCCAAGATCCACGCTGAGACATGGCTGAATTTTCTCTCCCTCGACGACGACTGGAAGGATGACACCACCAACATGCGTCGTCTCAAGAAACGCTCATTGTCGGAAACGACTGAGGAAGAGGGAGAAGACCTGATCGATCTAGATGATGACGACGAAATGGACGTCGACGCCGATATGCCGGCGGAAGACGACGATGATGAAGTTCAGGTCATAAGTACATTAGATGAAGCCATGGTGGACGACCTCGCCGAAGCACGCCAGAAAGGAACCTGGGTCAAGAAAGGCACTGTGAAGAAGGAGGAGTCCGATATGCCGGACGATCCTACCGGAAAAGCCTCATCATCTTCAGCAGTCAAGAAGGAAGAGAAACAGAGCACAAGGGTTTGGTCCTCCCGAGCACGGTCACGAACACCATCACGTACTGTCCTTAAGAAGGCTGACCATGCACCGGGATCGGCTCGCACTCCATCGGAAGGTCGCAGAGTTTCGTTTTCCGACGCCCCGGAAACAAAGTACTTCGAACTCCAGCCGAAGAAACGTGCGACTTCGCGAGCCCGGGAAGTCATCAGCGATGCAAGAAAGGCACAGAAGACCATCGACCAGTACTTTCATCGCCCAGAGCAGATGACTTGCCTTATTTGTGCCCAAGCCGACGTGCTTTTCTTCTGCCGCGCATGCGGACATGGAACATGCCTTGACTGCTATCATGATGTTGTCAACCATTGTTCATGCAACAGCATTTATCTTTGTTCGACCATCCCAGACGCCGATATTCCGGCACCGCTGGGCGAGCACGAGCGCGAAGAGATCACAGCCGAAATTGATTTCACGATTCCCTTCGCAGTCGAATCCGAGGGTTGGCATCCGGACGACCGATATGCCGGTCGATTGCACCGTTTGCAAGAAATCAAAGACCTTGTTCTCGGTGGCGGCTCAACAGGTTATGCAGCGATGGATCGCATTGTTCTCGAAGGAGTCAGCAAATACCATTACACAAACCATCCAACCTATAAGAGCCGCGCCATCCCCTCGATTGCTCAGCATTGGGACGAACAATCCGATGTGGCACCGTATCCGATCATTCGGCCAAGCTGCTTTTATGACTCGAACCGCCGATATTCCGGCGAAGAGATGAGACAGATTGTCGAGTTAAGCCGTTCGTACATGCAGGGATATCGCGCCAATCAGGGAGACTTCTTTGGTTTCCCGCGGCACTTGTGGACTTATAAGTAAGAGTGTAAGTGTACTTAAGGGAGGTTAAGTGGGTTGGTAAGTATGTTAAGTGGTTCATAAGTTCAAGTTTTTTTTGGTTAGTTATAATGGAGATAGCTACTTACCGCCCTACTTATAAGTAGGATGCTGTTGAATTTGAAAAACGTCGTTTCTACTTACGATACTACTTAACCTACTTAGCTTTTTGTATGTTTTCAAGATGTTTTTAAACATTTGTTCAAAAAGGAATCATTTTGCAAACATTTTCGATTTCACGTGCTGGGCAGTTTTGGCTTACAGGTGCGTTACGTTGATTCGGAAGCACCTCGACTGCTTTTTCCGCGTATGGCGGGTGCTTTTGAGAAGGCAATGGTTGCCGGCCAGAAATTTTTAGAAGGCTTGCGCAGCCTTCCGAGCTACAAGGACGCACAGCAGAAGCAGCTGCGAGCTCTCTTGAAGCAGTTGGGTTCGGTCACTGACCTTACCACAGGTCAGTCAGGCAAGATCTTGTCCATGCTGGATGAGAAATTGTGGGACCACGAGTCTCTACAGCAGTTGCGGCAGCAAATAGCTGACAAAACCGAGCAAATCGCCGCCGCCGACAGTCGCATACATGATATATATATATATAGATTATAAATATAGATATATGTGCTTTGACGAATTGTTTGAGGTGGATCGCGCGCGGGGGTCGTTCGGGCATGCGCCGCAGTGTTTCGGGCTCAGACCGCGCACCGCCTCGATAGAGGATCGCGCCGCTTTGGACTGGCTCACGCAGGCTGACTTTGTGTTACCCGGAGGGGACCTGACTCGACTGGCTGCTTTGATGAAGGACGCCGAGAGCGCCTTGCCCGACCGCAGGACTGCGGAGACGTGGGAGAATGTGCGGGAGTGCATTTGGATGTCGTCGTCGTGCGCGCCGCTGGAAGCGAGACTGGCGCCGACACGAGCTGCCACCGCCTTAGCTCTGGCGGAGATTCCGGGCGTGCCACACGACGGGGAAGAAGTCCGCTGCGCGGTCAGCCAGCGGGATGGTTGGCAGACCTTGGCAATGAATCCCGCCTTGCACGTGGCAGAGATGTTCGCAGCTGCGGACGCTCTGATGTATTTGATCCCGCTGGAGCGTCGCGCAGGTCTGGAAGAACTGCACGACTGGCTGGAAATTGCGTTGCTGGTGATGTCGGCTGCGCGCCGGCGGCTGCAGACCTTGCTCTGAGGCGTAGGAAAACGGCTTGTCCGCCGTTGTCCGCCGAAGTCCGCCGTTGTCCGCGGCTTCAGAGGACACGCTGTGCGCTGTCCGCCGTTGTCCGCGGAAAGGTAGGATTTATAGCCTGTAGAGGGCAAAACCGTGTCCGCGGTTGTCCGCGGGCTACGAAACGCAGCATGTCGGCGGGAAAACGCTTGTCCGCGACGTCCGCGATGTCCGCCGCTCCGAAATGTTCGATTTTCTGTTTGTCCGCGGCCTCTCGCAAACTTTCGTTGTTTTTTGGTAGTTTTGGTTCCGGTTTTCCTGTCGCTGGATCCGTTTTTTTGACTCTGGTGGCTGACATGAGACCCCTGCAGTTTTGCTTTGGCTCAACCGCGACCCCGCTGTATAGAGTCGACCCTCGGAGATGGCTGCAGACACACCTGCGGGCGCTGCGGACTGCTTGCGCCGCCTGTGTGGCCACAAGTTTCGACTGGACCAAGGCCGCCCGCGGTCCGCGCATTTGTTTGAATGTCACCAGTGCATGGCGGTCGACAAGCAGCTTGGGCGCAACCTTGGTGAGTTCGCGGACGAACTCCGAGGCCAGAGCCCGGGGGGAGCAGCAGAATTTCTTCTCGCGCATTCGCAGCGACAACGCAAGTGGTGGAAGAATTGCGTGGAAGACTGTGCGAGCGGCCTTGATCAGCTCCTTGGCCACAAGGCAGATCCATACCTACAAACAAGAAATCGAGGGCAAGATGCATTTGGCGATACACCTGGCTGATCAGTGCAAAATGTGGGGGAAGTTGCTGGATTGCTTTTGTTGTGAGAGAAAGCATCGCGCATACAAGAGCTATGCGCACTCGAACCTTGCTCGCCTTGGCGGTTACGCGCGCTCGATCCTCCTCAAATTGAATGGCTTGGACTCCCAGCCAAGAGCTAAAACGGTCTTTGCACACATTCTTTGGAGAGACGTGGCGCGCCTGGGCTCACTGCTGAGGGGCGAAACTTCATTCCGGGTCAGATCTACATCTTGGACACGAAAACGGCCGTGGAAATCACGGGAGCCAGAGTGGAGCACGGCCAACACAAGCTGGAAGCAGATGTTCTGGGGCCCTACGGGGGCGTTCAGACGCCGGGCTTCACGCGCTGGTTGCGCAAAACACCTGGGACGCAGCAAACTGTGGCGGTTTCCAGGCTTCTGCAGCGGCGTGAAGCACTCTTCGTGCGCAAAGATGGACCTGACGTGTGGCTCTTGCAATGAAAAAAACCGCTTGCGCGCGCGTTTTTCTCTTTTTCGTAAATCTTCACGAAAAACACATACTTCTACTTAACCTACTTACAAGTCTACTATTATAAGTATGGTTCTAAGTACGAAAAAACATATCTAGCTAAGTAGCATCATAAGTAACTTATAAGTTACCCAAGTGCCCGGGGAAACCAAAGTTTGATCTCGATGAAGCAAGACGGCTCCGATCGACTGAACACGTTACTTAGGGGGCCGCTCACTTATAACTTGACTTATAACAACTCATAA